GGAGAATATTATTAAACTTTGTTCAAAGATAATAAAGAAGACCTAAAATAAAGAGGTATATTATTTTCATTGATTTAAACGCTCAATATCATAAAAATGTCAATTCTTCTGAAGTTTAAGTCCAAAGCAGTTCTAATAAAATGCAACTTTTTTGGTGAAAAGTTCACACTAAAATTTATAAGAAAAAGCAAAGAAAAACTCCCAAAGAGGAACTAATAGATATCAACACTAATATAAAGCTATGAAATTAAGAGTGTGAGATCTGCACATGCTGAGACAAAGTGATCAATGGAAAAGAACAGTTCAGAAACAGACCTACACATACTGACTAACTTGATTTTTGGCAGAAATGTAGATGAGCAGAGAAGTAATGGCCTTTTCAGAGATGCTAAGACAAATGGATACCAAAATGGAAAACAATCATGTCTCATCTTCACCATGTGATCAAAAATCAACATCAAACTTAAATACAAAAGGCAAGATGACTAAATTTTTAGAAGAAAATGCAGGAGAATATTTTTTAGACTAGCATTAGAAAGAGTGTTATAAGCAATGATTACAAGGCAAAGTATAAAGGAAAAATTAATAAGCTTGACTATTTTAAATTAAAAATACCTGTTCTCCAAAAGACATCATTTAAGAAAGTTAAAGAATAAAAAAGCCAACAAGCCATAAATGGAGGAAAACATTTCCAACACATACAACTAACAAAAGATTAGTTATTTCAAATATATAAAGAATTCCTTAACAAGCAAATTAAAAATTTAGGCAAAATATTAAAAACATATACATGACAGGAAAGGAAACAAAAATGGTCAATAAATATATTTTTAAATGCTTTCATGTCATATAATTGAGGAGAAACAAATTACTATCACTGGGAGCAAGAAACCATTTTTATGTTGCTGTTTGAAATATCAATTGTTAAGTAACATACTAGCTACAAACTAGGTATTAAATAGATGATGAAGGATGCTCATACTCTCTGCTGCTGCAGCAATTCCACCCCTGGGTATGTACCCCAAAGAAACACTTTCACAAGAACTCCAAGGGCCATGAACAAGGATCCATTGTTGCACTGGCTGAAACAGCAAAACACTGAAAACAACCCAAATGGCCACTCACTCAGATGAATAAATAAATTACAGTATAGTCTACACAGTAATAACTAATAACTGCATAGGTGAAGCTTAAGAACACGCTATTGAGTAAATAATAACAGTAACACTAATAATAATAATAAAATAAAATAACTAAAATACACTTCCTGTATTCAATTTGTTTTACATTAAAAAAGGGTAAAACTAAACAATATAGTTTAAGGTTATATGTAAACATATTTAAAGTGTTCATTAAAAACAAGAGAAAGATAAAACAAAATTTGAAACAGCCATCACCTATAAGTAAAGAGCACGGGAGAAATAAGTAGTAGGAGGCATTCAAGAAACATCAAAAGTAATGTTAATAATCCTCCTCTTTGTGTAATTGTTAGAGAGGTGCTCATTATATCATTATTCTTTATATCTCATCTACATTTAAAAGTATTTTTTGCATCAACTTAATATTTTAAAAATCAATTTAAAAAGAAACACATGACCTGCCCCTCAAAACAAGCAGTCTCCAAATCTCCTAGTTTGGCTGACAAATCCATCAGTAAACATAACAGTAAAAAATGTGAAATGATGTTTAGGTATTTTAGAGGAGTTCAGTGAAAGCACGATGGTAATAACCACGTTAGTGCAGAAGTTGGAGAAGCAAACATTCTAGAGACTGGGAATGGTCTTCACACTTTAGAAGAATGGGTTGGACGCTTTCTACGGACATTTAGCTCTGTCTCAGGTGTTTGCTCAAAATAGCATCAATTCTCTCTCTCTCTTTTTTTTTTTTTTCCAGTGAGGTGTACAGTTAAGCTGAGGAATTATTAACAGGGTCCTGTGGCTGGAAACACTCTCAGAGCATGAAGGTCCTCCCTGGGAGATATGAAGGTCAAATAGGGAAGGGATTCTGCATATCCTACCCAGGGACCTATTCTCCACCACAGGGCACTGTTAAGGGGAAGAGAATGCCTTTCAGAAAGGAGGGGCCTGCAGCCAGGTGCAATCAAAAACTCAGCTGCACCTTGCATACTAAAGAGAATGTTTCATGTGGATTATTTAACTCCAGACACAAGAAATCTCTCAAATGACCTGCTGTGTTACTTTTCAGTCTTCAATTCCTGTTTTGCATTATTTATCAATGTCAGGAAAAGGACCAAAGTAGTACATCTCAATGCAGAGCTGCATTTTCTCGGTTTGCATTTTTTTTGTGCCTAACATGCCCCTCCATTTTGGCGCACTTCCTAAAAATGAAGCAAGGGCACTCTGCAGAGTCATGGTTGTTGGCAATGAGACAGATTCCTCAACATTCCATTTACACCTGAGTAGTTCTCTGCAGTCATAATTGGTCTGAGAGCTGATGCTGACTTGAAGGTCTGTGATCAGTGAGGAATAATCAAATGACTCCTACATCACTAAGGTCAAAAGCCCAGAAATGACAGGGTTCTTGCCTGCACACCACTTCTTTCTCCTGGGTTTTCAGAAGAGGCTTACACCCAAATGACGATTAGAGGAACAATTCCAGCTACTCTCCTCTGAAGTGTGGTGGATATAACTTTAAGTTTGGCTATATCATCACTTCACACAAAGTGACACTTGGGAAGAAGATGTTTAACTTTGATGTGTAAGCTTTTGCCAGGTTATTGGAGGTTGTGTGGGGAATATTTTCCATGTTCAAGGCTACACTTTATGGCTCTGCAGCTGAGAGGAAAGAGGGGCTGAGAAGAGCTCATGCTGTGCTTGGAGAACCTCACCCCCCTCCCCCCGTGCATGACCACCTCCACCTAGAGGAAGGAACGTCTTTTTCCTCCCAGCAAGTCCCCATGTGCTGACCAAGTGTCACATTTTCAGCGCTGTGACTACCCAGGGGAGGCCCCCCGCTCTCACTCATACAGATGTGCCTTAAAACCAGGTGTGGTGCTCCTTCTGTTGGCTAGGGTGACGTGGTGGAAAAAAAAAAAAAACAGCCATTTGAGAGTCTCTGAAACCTTTAACAAAACCCCATGAGCCACTGACCAGCATCTGATCTCAGGAAACTTAAGTACATCTCTGAGTTATAGCTTCCTCATTTATAACATGGGATAATAGTGCAAACCTTTTAAGATTGCTGGACAGCTGCATGTAAATCAATGAAGTTAGAACACTCCCTCACTCCACACACAAAAATAAACTCAAACTGGCTTAAAGACTTAAACTTAAGACAAGACACTATCAACCTCCTAGAAGAAAACATAGGCCAAACGTTCTTTGACATAAATCTTAGCAGTGTTGTCCTAGTACAGTCTATCCAGGCAATAGAAATAAAAGCAAAAATTATTAAATAAATGGGACCTAATTAAACTTATAAGCTTTTGCACAGCAAAGAAAACTATAAACGAAACAAAAAGGCAACCTATGGAATGGGAAAAAAATACTTGCAAACAATGCAACTGACAAGGGCTTTTTCTCCAGAATATACAAACAGCTCATACAACTTAATAACAAAAAAACAAACAACTCGATCCAAAAATGGGCAGAAGACCTAAATAAGCAATTCTCCAATGGAGACATACAAATGGCTAAAAGGCACACAAAAAAAAATTCAATATCACTAATTATAAGAGAAATGCAAATCAAAACTACAATGATGTATCACCTCACACAAATCATAATGGCCATCATTCAAAAATCCACAAATGATAAATGAAGAGGGTGTGGAGAAAAGGGAACCCTCCTACACAACTGTGGTGGGACTGTAGTTTGGTGAGCCATTATGGAAAACAGTACTAGATTCCTCAAACAAACAAACAAAAATAGACTTACCATATGATCCAGCAATCTTACTCCTGGGTATATATTCTGTGGGAACTCTTAATTCAAAAAGATACATGCACCTCAATGTTCTAGCAGCACTATATACAATAGTCAAGACACAGAAACAACCTAAATGTTATCAACAGACAACTGGATAAAGAAATTGTTGTATATATATATACGGACACACACACATATATATATATACATATATATATACACACATACATATACACACACACAATGGAATACTACTCATCCATATAAAGAGTAAAATAATACAATTTGCAGCAACATGGACGGACATGGAAATTATCATTCTAAGTGAAGTAAGTTGTAAAGAGAAAGAAAAATTCTATATGATATCACTTATATGTGGAATCTTTAAAAAACGACACAAATGAATCTGTTTACAAAACAGAAACACACAACTCACAGATATAGAAAATAAACTTATCATTACCAGGAATGGATAAATTGGGAGTCTGAGATTTGCAGATGCGAACTACTATATATAAAATAGATAAAGTTTATATTGTATAGCACAGGGAGCTATATTCAATATCTTGTAGTAACCTATAATGAAAAAGAATATGAAAAGGAATATATGTATGTATATGTATGACCTAAACACTATGCTGTATACCAGAAATTGACACAACATTGTAAACTGACTATACTCTAATAAAAAGGAATAAAATTTTAAAACATGAATCTCTTAAAAAAAACTTTCAAGACTGATATGAAGACCAGGTTAAATAACAGGTAAGCACATAACAGATGTTTAGAAATTTTCATGTTCCCTTTCTTTTCACAGTCTTTCTGGTTTTGTATTACACTAATGAACATTTGTTTAGAGAGTTTACCATTTGCTGACTATTTATGCACCTGTCTCATTTAATGCTCCATGAAGCCCATTGGAAAGTGGAGATGAAGAGACACATGCTGTGACACCTAAGATATGACCAAAGTCTGGGTCATCTGATTACAAATCCCAAGACTGTCCAATTGCTTCTGGTAGGAATTACTAAAATTGTGATACCTTATCACAAGAAAATACAACAGGAGCTATGTTACTATAATCACAGCATGTACCTGGAAATAGTCACTCACCATTTGCCAGAGATTTGCAATGTGGAAGTTCTTCAGTCTCTATGGAAGGAGGATGAAACCAGATGTGCCATGTTCTCCACCAACACCTCTGCCTTGTAAAGAAAAAGAAAAAAATAATGCAACCATAGCCTCGGGGCATGACAATAATTATTGTTAGAGTAGCATAGAATAAGAAATTTGTTTCCAGATATTTTTGTATACTCAAAAAATATTTATTGAGTGTCTACTATGTCTTCAGTATAATTCTAACTTTCAGGATACAGCACTGAATATAGCAAACAACATGTCTGCTCTCAAGGACCTTACATTCTAGTGGGAATAACCTACAACAGACAAAGTGACAAATACATAAATGGAGGCAATAAATTCTATTAATAAAAATAAAGCAGTAAAAGGGGACTATAAGAGAATAGCTCCTCAGTGGGGGGCAGGAGAATGTGCTGATATAGATAAGGAGGTCTCTGATAAAAGAACATTAACATAATTTCCAAAAGCAAAAGTACTGCTTTGTTTTCTTTCAAAGAACAAGAACAACAAAATAAACAAAGCAAAACAAAAAGCAAGCTCAGAAGTTGGGACCCTGCTTTTACTTTCGTAATTCCCATCTCCCCTAACACTTCTCCCCTATGAAATCTACACGCACACAGCACCGAGGCTTCTAGAGAATGGGACTTCCTCCCAACCTCCTCTTTATCTGAATTTTCCCACCGGATCAACAGTTTCCAGCCTAAGATACAATAAGAATAAGAGCACAGCTCGCTTAGAATGTGAAAATCTCTGGGGATGTTACAAAATTTCTCATATTCAGCGTATCAAGAACACATTGGACATACTCTTAAGCACACCTTGAAACTTAACCAGTAGCAATGCATAAACAGTACTGCAATCAAGTCAGAAAAATCAATAGGTTAGGCACTTTCATTTGTTTTCCCT